GCTCAGAAAACCAACCTAGCCAGGCGAGAGGAAGTGCTGTGTCATGCCACTTGGGCAGGGTCACCCCCTCGACCTTGAGGGGGTTACCTTTAAGTAGCAGAGCCCTGTGGCCCAACAGTGGAGATAAGAAGGGCCCTGGGATGTGGACAGAGCCCCCGCAGCATGTGGTGTGAGTTGGCTATGATAGTGCGTCCCTGAGCCAGAGGTCAGGTCCTCCCACATGGTGACCATGCAGGAGACACCCAGCACCATCCGTCTGCTAGGCTGTTCTTCCCTGGGCGCTCCTGGTCCATCCACACAAGGAAACCACGTGTTCCAGGAGTGCCCCACAGTTCATCACTGGCATAGCTGATTGGCCCAGATGTATAGCCGACCCATGCTGGGCTAGACTTTGGAGCCTAAGATTTTGGAAGTTTAAACCAAGAGATGCAGAACATGGCAGCTGTTGAACGCTATGCCACAAGAAGAAGTATATTTGGTCTCGGCCCCTGGTTCTGGTCACTGAGTGTCTGAAACCCTTGGGATTTCCTGAGTGTGGCAGCGTCTTCTGTTACTCATAAGGAGCCCCCTTCCACCACACCTGAGTTTATGCTAACAAGGTGACTCTGGGTGGACATTATCAGAAAGACCCAGAGATTAGTTGGCGGGAATTCTCAGCCCCTCTCCCACTCCACCTCCACCTCTGGGGAGGAGAGGGGGCGGGGGATTGAGATATAAAAATCTGTGAATAATGAGATTTGGGAGAGCCTCCAAATTGGTGGATGCCCTGAGGTTCTGGGCAGTTGCCACATGGAGAGGGCTTGGGAGCTCCTCACCCCACCATGCCCAATGTGCTCCCATTGGCTGTAACTGAGCTGTGTCCTTCATAATAAGCTGGGAAGCATAAGTGTTTTCCTGAGCTCGGTGAGTTGTTCTAGCAAATTACTGAACCCGAGAAAGGGTTCATGGGAGCCCCAAAGGTATCACCTGCTGTGTGGGTAGCCTGGTCACCCAACATGCAGCCGTCACCTCGAGAGGGGACAGTCTTGTGGAACACAGCCCTTAGTCTGTGGGTGAGAGTGTAAGTGGCGTAGGATACCCAGTTGGTGTCAGAGAGTCTGACAATTGGACAGCTTCAAGTATGTAAATGAAAATAAAATTCTAAGCTCCCACAACCAACTGAATGGAACACATCACCCCCACCCTCAGCTAAGGGGATTTCAAAGAAACCTGAAAAACTAGTTCAGGCCACGATGGTGACACAGGACTTTTCTTGGTCACTTGTCAGCCAGAGAGCCCAGGCCAGTGACACCTTGCCCAGGCCTTGTTCAGGCCTAGGTTTGCCACAGGAGATGCCCCATCCACTCAGCCCACTAGGCCATGCCAGGCCTGCAATCCAATGTGGATCCCGCGGCTGCCGTGACTGCATACTCAGCCCTCAGTGGGAGGGGGCGTGTGAGCAAGAGAGTGCAGGGTCCAGCCAACTGTTCCAAGTGCCAGCGTAGAACCAGGTTCCATGTGGGGCTTGTGGCTGGACAAGGCATGTTGCAAGCCACTCCTATGGTGGACTCTGGTGTCCAGATGAGGGGAACATGGTGGTGTCCAGGTAGAGGTGCTCATGATCCTGAAGCCCCAAAGGAGGTATTACAGCATGCTAATTAGCTGTTTTAGTCTACAGCGTGATGGTCAGTGGTGTGTCAACAGCTCTGCCAGCCCCTTGCTCTTCATTGGCACATGGCTCCAATGCTGGCTCAGCCCCGCCACTGCTTCCGTCACGTGGGGTGGCTGCCCTCCACTGGTGAAGGGCAAAGGGTCATGGTGTTATAGCTTTCTCTCTACTCACATTTGATGGGTTCCGAGCTCTTGTCCCATGTTCAAGAAGAATGAGGATACATTGACAATTGAAGGGTGAGGAGGATGGAGAATAATTTTATTGAGTGAGAAGGCAGTGGAGCACGGATGTGAGGGTGGTCTACCACCTGAAAGCAGGTGGTTTTTCTCTCCATGTGGCTGGGATCAGGGCTTTTATGGGCTCCAAATGGGGAGTGCGCGCTGACTGGTTTGTGAATATGCAAAAATGTCTAAAACAAAGGCATCACTCAAAAGTGGGCACAACAGTGTTAAAAAACCAATTAGGGAAGGGTAGGTATACGTAACATAGGTGAAGGGTGGCGATCAATCACAGGGAAGCACACCAAGCAGGAAGACAGGTTCTCAATCCAGTCCATGGATTCACCTGGGACTTGTAGCTAGGCTTTAAACTGTCTTCAGCTTGAAGGTTAGGTTTCACCGGGACCCGCTCTGTCTGCCTCCTGTAACTATTAATGGAAAGGGAGGGTCGGACATGCCTCAGTATCCCCTCCTCCCTTTGCAGTTCAGGCATAAAATTTACCCACATTAACATTAAAACAGATCTTAAGACTGACAAAACAGACTCTTTGTAGCAATAAAATGCCAAATTCCAACCTGAATCTAATACAGCGTTACATGACAAATGGCTGGCCCTGAAGGAGATCAAAGTATTTTACCCCAAAATACATTTCTTTGACATATTTTGAAATGGCCCTGCAAAGCTGTTTCTTCTGGGAGAAATTTACATTCTGTAGAGAATCCCCTGCCCTTTCCAGACCTTTTCAGATTCTGAAGAAGTTAACTGAGAGTCTAGCAGCTTTTAAAGATCTAGACAGGAAAGATTTGCCATCTATTGCCTCTAATGACAGCCAGCTATGAGACTTCATCTACGTAATAAGAATCTTGGTCTCCACAACCCCTTTTTAACCCAGATGCTCCTTTCTCTTGATTCCAGATCTTTAGATAAGAACTCTTTCAACCAATTGCCAATCAGAAAAATCTTTGACTCTACCTGTGACCTGGAAGCTCCCCTCCCACCCCTCCTGCTTTGAGTTGTCCTGCCTTTTTGGACCAAACCAATGTAAACCTCACATGTTATTGATTGATGTCTTATGTCTCCCTAAAACGTATAAAGCCAAGCTGTAACCCAACCGCCTCGGGCACATGTTCTGAGGACCTCTTGAGGCTGTGTCACTGGTCATAATCCTTAACCTTGGCAAAATAAACTTCTAAATTGATTGAGATCTGTCTCAGACACTTTTTGGTTTACAACCTTTTGTAACCAAAGGACCAACTAATTCAAATACAGTTTTATCTTCCAATATTAAGAAAACCTAGAATAAATGATCCAAAGGTTGTAGAGAGTGAAACAATTTCTCCAATGTGCAAACCTCTGCCTCATCATTCCTAAGAATTTCTAGCTGCAGATGTTACTAGGATGGCATTACCATGGAAATAAAACCCGTGTTGTTTCCTTTGGGTTAATCTTGAATTCCTGGTGAAGTGAACCCAAAGTCTTTAAAGAGGATGGCAGTCCATCCCATTGCTGCGGTGCTCTGGTGGATTACTGGGGCCATCTGGGAGAGTAGCAGACATGATGCGAACTGTGAACAGATGCAGTAGAGTGCACACTTCTACCTACAGGAAGGTCAGGAAAGCTGTTATGGGGAGCAGGGTTAGAATGATGGGGATATAGCGTGAAAAGGGACAGGGGACCTTTCTGTGCCACAGGAAATGTCCTAAATCTCAACCACGACATGGTTAAAGTGCAAATATGGGTGAAAATTCATTAAGCTGTAAAGATTTGTGCACTTCACTGTAAAATTTACCTCAAATGTTTAAAGGACTGGAGTCCGCAGCCACATACTTAAGGAGTAACACTTTCCTTAGTCCCCAACTCCTGGATAAAACAGAGAAAGATTCCACAGTGCAGGTCGGATTTCGTGTATTCCAGCTGTAACGTGTAGCAGTTAAAACTCCGGCCATCCCCGGGCGCGGTGGCTCAAGCCTGTAATCCCAGCACTTTGGGAGGCCGAGGCGGGTGGATCACGAGGTCAAGAGATCGAGACCATCCTGGTCAACACGGTGAAACCCCGTCTCTACTAAAAATACAAAAAATTAGCTGGGCATGGTGAGGCGTGCCTGTAATCCCAGCTACTCAGGAGGCTGAGGCAGGAGAATTGCCTGAACCCAGGAGGCGGAGGTTGCGGTGAGCCGAGATCGCGCCATTGCATTCCAGCCTGGGTAACAAGAGCGAAACTCCGTCCCAAAAGAAAAAGAAAAAAAAAAAAAAATAAAAAAAAAAAAAAAAAAAAAAAAAAAAAAAAAAAAAAAAAAAAAAAAAAAAAAAAAAAAAAAAAAAAAAACAAAAAAAAAAACTCCGGCCATCCTCCAAGCGGAGATTCTGGCTTCAACACGATGCCACCTTAGGTGTTTCTCCTTTAAAAGAAAATACTTTAAAAATTGTTTAGAAATGAGTTACGTGAAACACAAGGTGGCTTAACTGGGACGTCGTTTCCTAATTAATCACACCTAATTTCATTTTTATTTTGGAAAGGGGAGACGGGTGGTGTTTGAAAGGCTGAGAATGTGAAGTGGCTGAAATGAAGGCAAGGCACCACCCAGATGCCAGCGCTGCCCGCCCTGTAAGGAGAGGGCGGAGACGGCACACGCTTCTGCGTCAGGAGTTCCCGTCCATAAAACGGTATTAGGTATTGGGCCTTTCCTCCACATCAGGACTCCAGCAGCTGGAAATCGCTGAAAACAAGGCCAAAGAAAAATAGTTGGCTTACACGCGCCTGTGAACAGGCGTTTTTCGGCGTTGCCCTTGGGACCGCAGGCACGAGGGACCCACAGGGGACCGCCCCTCGGGAGCCCGAGTAACGAGACGGACGCCAAGCCCCCCAGGCCGCTCGGCCCCAGCTTCGCCTGCCCCGGCCGCAGGCCGCATCCCCACAGCATCGCCAGCCCGGCGTCTGCGGCCTGCACCCGGCCGCGAATTCAAGAAGGAAACCGCCAGCCGGGGCTATCGTTGATTGGCTGAGCGAGAGGAAACCCGGCAGTGATTGGTCCGCACCGTCTTCCGCCTCCGGCCAAGGGGGCGGATGCGATTGGTTCAGGCTCATCGGCCCGCCCCCGTCCCCTCCGGCCGGAGCGCGCAGCGTCATTTCCCGGCGTGCAGCGCGCCCGCGCATCCCCCGCCCGCTAATGTTTTGGCCGCTTCAAGATGGCGGTGCAGGAGTCGGCGGCTCAGTTGTCCATGACCCTGAAGGTCCAGGAGTACCCGACCCTCAAGGTGGGCGCCTGCGCTGCGCAGGCTGAGGCCAGCGACGGCCTCCTCCGCCAGTGCCCACGGGCCGCGAGGGGCCGCCCCGGGAGGGCCAGCGGAGAGGACGGCGGGCGCTGGGCGCGGCCTCGCGGGGCCGTGCGGGCTCCCCGGGGTCGCCCTGTCCGCGCCGGGCAGGTGGGGCGGGGGCGGCCGCTTTGGCCCTGTCCGGCGCCTGACTGTGGCCCCTTTGCTTAAAGAGCTGCGTGAGCCGAACCAGCGACGACCCTGGCCGCGCAAAGGCTGGCGAATTTGGGGCTGGGGGTGGCAGCTGGAGTTTCCGGGGCGTGGGTCTCGGGCGCCCAGACAGAGTGCGCAACGTGCCCGGCCGGTATCCGGCTGCCCTCCCGGGAGCCCAGGGCCAGAAGGTGCTGGGTGCCGGCACCTGGTCGTAAGTTAGGAACTGTAGGGAGAAACCTCACGGCCAGATGGCACCCAGCGACCTTTTTGATGGGCGTCACCAAACCTGAAATACAGCTCTTGCCGTCCGGTTACCGGTTGCGTGACCTTGGGTGGTCACCTAGCCGCGTCGCACTTTTTAGAATGAAATTTGTGCTCCTAGTGAAAGGAGCAGATACTTGTTGTTTAGCTAGTTAATAGAAGATTTGACATAAAGCACCTGGGAAGGAATTCCTTAGTCGATCAAGGTCATAGCTTTCCTAGAGCTGCGGCTGAGCTGGAGTGCTGCGAAGCTTTTCTCTTCTCCCAGAGCACCTTGGTGTTCCCGTCCGTCCGTCTCAGTGGCGACAGGTGTGGAGGATGCAGTGTGGCCAGGTTGCTGTGCGTTCCACCAGGCCCAAGGTAGTTCGGCAAAGGGCTGAAGAGCGCAGGCTCTGAGCCATCCTGCTAGGGTGTGACTCCGGCTCCTCTGTATTCATCCTTACTGGGAGATACCAGGCCCCACTTGGTGATTGTTTATTCTTGTCAGATTTAAGTAATGGTAGCGCCTGTGTCACCTCAGGCTGAAACAAGTGACCATGTCTTGTTTCAAGCAGTGCCTGGCATTCATTAAAAGGTACCTGATATAGTTAGCACTGCTGAAGTCAGGCTGTACCCTGCTGTAGCTGGTCTTCATAGGAAAACAGAAGCAAGCTTGTCTTCCTCTTCATTAACTAGCGGTTTATTTCATATTTTTAAAAAGAAACAGGGTCTCACTGTTGCCTAGGGTGGTCTTGAATTCCAGGGCTCAAGCCATGGTCCTGCCTTGACCTCCCATGGTCCTGCCTTGACCTCCCAAAGTGCCAGGATGACAGGTGTGAGGCAGTGGCCACTTTGTCTCGTGCAGTGCACCTCCAGGCCCGTCATTTCAGCTAACAGACAAGATGGCTTGAAGATCAGAACTGTGGTGGCTTGTCACTTTTGGCCCTGGCTGATGAATGTGGAAACACCAAATAGGAAAGGTGTCCAGAAATCCTGTGTGTTGAAGGAACTAGGGAAGGAGATGGAAGGTCTCTGGAGAGGATTCTTCTTCAAGTCTTCTGCTGTTTTCTGATCGTGGATGTCATTAGCATTCCAGAGTTATTACATAGTTTCTGATTAAAGTAGTCATGTAGACAGTCATACAGGTAAAGAAATATTATAGTATTGTAGCCGGGCACAGTGGCTCAGCACTTTAGGAGGCTGAGGCAGGTGAATCACGAGGTCAGGGGTGTGATACTAGCCTGACCAACATGGTGAAACCCTGTCTCTACTTAAATGTACAAAAAAAATTACCCGGGCGTGGTGGTGCACACCTATAATCCCAGCTACTTGGGAGGCTGAGGCAGGAGAATCCCTTGAACACAGGAAGCAGAGGTTGTGGTGAGCCCAGAATGTGCCATTGCACTCCAGCCTGAGTGACAGAGTGAGACCCCGCCTCAAAAAAAAAAAAAAAGAAATAGTGTTGTAATTCCTCTTTTGACAATTGCGTCACTACTGAGTTAAAACTTTTTTCCATAGGAGTTTTCAGGAGAGATTCCTAGTGGACAATGGAGATGTTTTGCTGGGAAACTAGGGATCCTTGATTTAGAAGCATTTATTAGTATAGAATGAAACAGAACATGCTGAGCTGACAGTTCAAGAGCTGCACTCTTGAGTCCTTAGGAGGGGCCAGTGCGGATGTGAGAGAAGGGAAGGAGGGCTGGGGGGCAGGGCTCTGGAAGCTGTGGGGTGGATGTCCTGCTTCTCTAGTCCAAAAGCACGTCCCCCTGGGTGGTGGGAACTGGCATGGCTGGACTGGATCTTCACCGGGGAAGAGTTAAACTGCTTTCCTGCCAAGTGAGTCCTCCACAGACACACGGGGTTCCTTACTCTTCAGAGGGCCTGGGAGCCCTAGCTGGGTTTCAGCAGTAACTCCTGGGATGTCTGGTTCCTCACAGTGTCAGGGCGGGTGGTGGGGCTCCTGGGTACTTGACAGGTACTTATTTTTCTCCTTATTTTCCTGGTGAAGTGGGAAGAGAATGGAACACACATGAATTGCTGCAGCCAACATGCACTGACCTTGGGCACCTCTGTCATCATGAGCTTCCATTTCCACAGGAGGGGTGGACCAGCCTGTGAACGTTTGGGCCGGATGAGCCTTTGTTGAGGGGGCTGTGCGGTGTAGGATGTTCAGCAGCATCCCTGGTGTCTGCCACTAGATGCCAAGAGCATGCCCCAGAATGTCTCCAGACATTGCTAGATGTGCCCTGGGGCCAAGCACACTCCCAGGAGAAATGCTGGTCCAGATTTTGCTTTAAGGAACTTGTTTCTTCTTCTTAGCAAACAGCGGTGCGGCTCCTGAGGCCCCACCCTTATGTCCTGGCTGTGGCTATGGCTGTGTCTTTGCCGTCGAATGCTGTCTGGTGTAGGGTGGTGGGTAATGCCTGGTGGGACGGGAGAGATGGCACAGTTCCAATTCAAGATGCATAATTCACCATCTTTCTTTCTTTCTTCTTCTTTTTTTTTTTTTTTTTTTTGTGACAGAGTCTTGTTCTGTTGCCCAGGCTGGAGTGCAGTGGCACGATCTCAGCGCAGCTCACTGCAACCTCTGCCTCCCAGATTCAAGCGTTTCTCCTGCCTCAGCCTCCTGAGTATCTGGGATTACAGGCACCCACCACCACGCCCAACTAATTTTAGTAGAGACGGGGTTTCGCCATCTTGGCCAGTCTGATCTTGAACTCCTGACCTAAGGAATTCACCATCTTTCAATTCAGCATGAATAGTTCACTCTCTTGAATTGCAAGCCCTCGTTTTCATTGTTTTTTAAAAGGTTTTTTTTTTTTTCTGATTATAAAAATAATTTGATGAGTTGGGTGCAGTGATGTGCACCCATTGTCCCAACTAATTGGGAGGCTGAGGCGGGAGGATCGCTTGAGCCAGGAGATCCAGGGTGTGGTGAACCGAGATTGCACCACTGTCCTCCAGCCTGGTTAACAGAGTGAGATCCTGTCTCAAAAAATAAATGAAAGTAATTTTTTTTCTTCAAGTTACCGTGCTGCACAGAGATAACTTCATTAACAGTTGGTGTATTTATTCCTGCTGTATTCCTTCAGATAGCTGAAGAAAAATAGTAGTTTAGGGAATTTCACATGGGTATCTGCATGGCCAAGGCGAGAAGTCATGTTCATCACCTGGAGACCTTGGTCTGGACCTGGCTCCTCTCTGAGCCTCACCAGGGCCCACCCCTCCTCTCCTGGAGCCCCAGCAGGGGTTCCCAGCTCCACTGAGTCCTCTCACACCACAGGTAGCGATGCTGCCCTCCACCCAGAGGACAGGCAGGGAAGCCCTGGGCCTGTTGGCGCATTCTCGGGTGTCTGAATTTTCTACAGGAAGATTTGCATGTTTTGCCTTTGGCTTGATGACAGTCTGGTTGCCCAGGCACTGCCCTGCGGCCTCCCAGCCTGGGTCTGTGCTTGTGGTAGTGGTCTGGGTACCAACTGTGTTCTTGGAAGTTGTAACTTTTAGTGCAGTTTTTGCATTTTCTGAACTTTGTCTTGGCTGGATTTGGGAGGATCATGCGTTTTCAAGTGTGAGAAACACGGGCAATCACGAAGCATTTGACGTAAGAGACACATGCATTGGACTGGACCTGGTCATGTGTCTGTGTCTGAGGAGTCTTGGGCGAGGTCTCTGCTTCCTTCTGCGGTCGGCTTTTTTGATGTGCTTTATCTGCAGTAACATCACACGGCCCTCCAGAATCCTCCCAGTCTCCAGAGCACAGTGGAAGTTCCTTCTGCCCAGAAGATCCATGGCCTGCCCTTTGTGCCTCCTGGCTCCACGCCACTCGCCTCTCCCACTGTTCGCCCATGGTTTGGCCCTGGGCCGGCTTGCGCCGCCTCTGTGCTGGCACAGGTCTTCCCCCCGCGCCTGTGCTTTCCGGATGGATAGGCAAGGCAGAGATGAGGGTGTAGACTTGGATTCGCTGCTAGCCGGGGGTTGGTTTTGTTTTTGTTTTTTTAAGTATTATTTTTTAACACATTTCAAGTCAAGAAAGGGCTTTTTAATACTTGGTTTGCTGTAATGGCTGGGCTAGGTTGGAGGCAGTACTGACGGGAGGCCGGTAACGTCCCTGGGACCTGAGCAAGGCACAGCCGCGGGGCTGCAGAGCAGGGCTGCCAGTGCACTGAGCTGGTCGCCTGCCCTCCTCCACAGCAGTGATTCCATGGCCCCCTTTGGCCAGGCACTGTCAGGCCCTGGTCTGTTATGACAGGTAGACAAGTCAGGTCCCCGTCTACACTCCGGTGGGAGGGAGACGTCAGCAGAAGTCCACAGACGTTTGAGATCCTTTAATGACACTGATGACATTGAGGTGAGTTGGGCATTGGCAGGAGGTGGGGGCCGGGTGGGCCTCCCTGGTGAACACAGTGTTGTGAGCTGGTTGGCAGGGTGGGGACTGGGGCAGGCCTCCCCTGTGAATGCGATGTTGTGAGCTGGTTGGTGGAGCTGAGTTTTGGGGTGAGGCCCTGTGGGCTGTGTCGAAGTCCCGGCCGACTGTAACCCCAGTAGGCACA